AAGGTTTTTCCACTCATAAAGTTTTAGCAACAGAACAGATCAGATGTTGATAAAATGCACCTGTTTCTTTTATATTCATCGAAGTATATTTGCATCGATAAACAAAAACATCAAAATCCTCCTGAATAACAACTGTGTATCATTTGTTGGATAGCAAAGATCTTTGAAAGGCATACCTTATTCCAAACGTCGTAAACTGTCTACCACACTAAGACAATAGCAGTTAGCCTAGTTTCAGTAACTTCCCTTCTGTAATGCTGTGGCTCGTACTTGCTATTCCAAGGTATCTTGAAGTAATAAAGAACTTACCCATTCCACGACGTAAAACAAAATTAACTTGACTTCTAACTGGTAGTGGGCTGCATAACCCTAGGTACAGGGGTGAGGAGAAAAGTCGATGCACACTGGTTGAAGATTGAGCAATGCGAATGACTGCATGGACTGAATTACCTCGGATCATACCATGAATTGGTCTTACTAAGTCGCTTATTAATAAGTCTTTCTGTGCGGATCAAATGTCGAAGAAATGGGATGGTCAGTGTTTGGAGCAAACATTTTCTTGAAGTGATCATACCCCTCACGTGACTTCTACAGTCGTCACCGTTAGGAGCGAAGTGATGGTTTGACCCTTTGTCGTCACTGTATACTGTTAGGCGCGAAGTGATGGTTTGACCCTTTGTCGTCACTGTATACTGTTAGGAGCGAAGTGATGGTTTGACCCTTTGTCTACTTGCGTTTCAGAGGAAAAATGAGCTTTTATTGCACTGTGTCTGACTGATTTCTGAAAGGAGGTCCTGTTCACAAGTATGCGTCATTTTTATTAATACGCTTTTATTAGCTTCACCTGTATGTTTGTATGTTCGTATGTATGTATGTAACTGACTTTTTCCCCTAGAGATCTGTTTCTCCTCATATACACTATTTAAGCTGCAAAGAAACATTTACAGGCATCTTTCGGAAAGAAAACAGTTGATTCTTTTTAATACGCTATTATATTAGTTCCACCTGAATGCTTGCTTGTTTGTTAAATTAAAAAGTATAAAATAAATTAACAGTTTAAAAAAAAATAAAAAAACACGCTTTTAGAGTTAATCAAACTAAAAAGTAAAAAATAAATTAATAGTTTAAAAAAACGAAAAAAACACTCTTTTAGAGTTAATCAAACTAAAAAGTAAAAAATAAATGAATAGTTTAAAAAAACTAAAAAAACACGCTTTTAGAGTTAATCAAATTAAAAAGTAAAAAATAATTGTTAACATAAGAATAAAATGACTGACGAGAAAATGAATGTCACTGTTCTAAAAGCGTGGGGTGCTCGATATCAATCGTTAAAACATTTTTCACTAGTTTCATTCCGAAATGCCGAGTTAATTTAAAAATATCATACAAAGCACCCCACGCTTTTAGAACAGTGACATTCATTTTCTCGTCAGTCATTTTATTCTTATGTTAACAATTATTTTTTACTTTTTAATTTGATTAACTCTAAAAGCGTGATTTTTAGTTTTTTTAAACTATTAATTTATTTATTTGTCACATTGAGTGAATAAAGAATGTTTTAAAAGAAATTTTAAAGTGTAAAGCATTTTATATCTAATATATACAATATATATATCATAATGTAATATGTTAGATAGGTAATTTATGTTTTACTAAATAGCTACAATGATCATCTATTGGTCTGAATTAATTTACAATTAGTTTTTAGGCATGTATTTCAGGGTTTTGCAGTTTAACGTATGCGATGATAACTTGGCGATTTTTGGCAACCATCTTTACTGTTGGCCATTACTATTCTATGTTGTTAGAACGAAGGGAGAAAAATGTATACTATCCTATAATGGATTTCAACAGAAGTGAATCCTTTTTTTTTTTTTTTTTTTTTTTTAGCTGTAAATAAATGCGAATCTAATTTTAATAAATATTTAATATTTATATTCTACTAATAAACTTCCCCTACAAAATTATTATCAGATGCTCGGCATTAAAAATAAACAATAACTTCATCAAACAACGGTTAATATTTCGAAATTTCCTATTCATTGTGTTGTTTTACAACTTCAAAATAGTTCTTAATTTTTTCAAAAATAGGGGCATTGCTTCTTCAGTTTGCAGAGGTCTAGAATTTTGTAAGCAATGTATGGAAACACTTAAAATGTTACAGAGGTTTAAAAAACAGCATTCGTTAATTTTAAACTTTTAATTACATGTGATAAATTCGAGTAAGAGTTTATGGTCATTATCAATTAAACCTCTATGAAGTATATATTTTTAACAACTTCTTAATGAACAATTTAATTTATTTATATCTGTCTATTAAAAAGCTTCTGAATTTCAAAAGATGAAATTATTTTAAGCATGAAATTATTTAAACAAAAAATTTATTTCTAAACATACCAAATTAAAAATCCCTTATTTATTTTCTCCTTCTTCATCATTATTATAATAAGCTTTTAATTAGAATCTGAAATGAATATTATTTTCCAAACTATTTCTCCAGATTTATTTGATATTAAAACGAAAAGAAAATACATGTTCCTCAGAAAAATGTCCTTTCCTCTTTGTAAATAAGGCATTAACTTTTAACATTCAGACTGATTTAAGCCTCGATACATTCTGAACTAAGAAAATATGTATTTTCACTCACTCTAGAACCTGGAAGGGACGCTTTTAATCTCGGATCATTCTGCATTCTCTTTCCTGAAAACAATGAAAATCTTTTCCCTCGAGAAACTCTCTCGGCTCAACAAGTATTTATTTCCTACAAGGATTTCGCTCTTAAATGCACGTCGAAGATTCGATTCGAAATGTGTTTCGAAGCAGTGGTTCATTTCTGAATTAATAAGCAAAACTGAAAGTAACGGCATTTAACACTTTTATATAATCGCATCATTTGAGAAGGGATATTTAAAAAAAATCACAATAAACTAAAACTTATTTAATCTTTATTGGATACAAACTAGCCTGCACTGATGGCAATAAACACAAGTACAATGACTGCAACAATATACGAATATAAAGTAGACTAGGAGTGGCCAACTCAAATGATCTTGCGGGCCACTTTGGAAATGCATCCTAACTAATTATACACCCCAATAGATTTAGACCCACTATAGACATTTTTTGGAGAGGAAAATTGAAACATAATGAGTTATTATTTTTGTGTATACAATTATTCTTACATGTAAAGATATATAATATAATAATAATGATACTAAACGCACATCGTAAAGAAATATCCAACACTAAAAATGAAATATAAAAAAATATATAAATATAGATGAAATAAAAAAAATGAAATCATTAAAAAATATTTATTTTACTAGTGCGATATTTGTTTCTCCACTCATCATGAGTTTACAAAATATAATTTAATTATTCTGCGAACTCATAACTGTAAATTCATCAATAAAACAGGCAAAATCTATCCTATATTCGCAAGAATATTATTTTAAAATCAAACTTCATTTTTGCTCATAATTTCGGCAGTTACTTTTTGAATATAGGGATGCACAATTAATGTATTTTTATTACATTTGTTTTCACTACTTTGGCCATTATAAGATAAATGCATTGTGTAAAAACGGGATAAATCTCATGGGCCGGGAAAATGTTCAAGGCGGGCAGCCGGTTGGTCCCCATGCAGTAGACTAATACAAGTGCAACACTATAACCGACACCCTATGACCGTCCAGACAAAGCAAGTGCGAAACGCCTACTTTTAAGTTTACATCAAGCATGTATTTATACTACTCGAAAACACTAGAGAGTGCGTTGCCCATATTTTAGTAGAAATAATATATTCGTTGACTTCTAACTAAATAAGTATTCATTGCGCAGAAGTTAAAAAGGAGAATGACTTAGATGTTTATTCCAATACCGATACTTCAAACGAACAAAAGTCTTAAAAAAACCTTTTCTTATCAAATTTTAAAAGTAGTTTTTCCTCATTCGTAAACATAAAGAATTTTTAAGTGTAAGAAGTACATCATCAGTTTAGGATTCCCATGTTTTTTTGTTTTTTTTTCAGTTTTGTAAAACTTGAAATGTATATTTTCATTCATTTTCCTTAACACATACTTCATTTCTGAACACTATTGACGAAACACAATCATTTTTTACTAAGCAATTAAACCTCTACATTATAAAAATGTTGTGACATTTGGATACAAATTGTTTGAAATAATTTGATTAAAATTAATATGACAATTTCTTCAAATAATGTAATACAATAATATAAATTAATGTTACATTACAATAAAATTATAAATATAGATATAATAATGTATAATTATATAAAAAAAAACTTGTATTAATACTATTTTCATTATTTTTAGCTACGTATTAGATGGGAAAAAAATAAAACCAGAGAAAAAATGGGTCTTTTAAATGTTAAATTTTAAAAAAGAGAGGTTACACTGAATTTTAATGAAAAATAAAAAAAAATTAAATGTAGCTTATAAGAAGTAACTTATGTACAATATGAATCTTAAGAAAGATTAGAAAATCAATAACAAGTCCCGAAAATACTGGAAAAAATCATTGGAAATTCGTAACATATCATTATCATTTGCTATTTTTAAGAGGGTCAATTAGATATTTCCGGAATATATATTGTAAAAAAGAAGGTTTTGGTTCATTCAAACTAAAATAAAGTATTTTTCGAAAAAATTATCGTATCTTTTCCATTATGGGTAACACCTCCGAAAAATAACCCAGAAATTTACAAGAATAGAAATAAATAGTAGGTGTATAAATTTGAAAAATAGTTTCATTAAGTACAGGGGCTCTTATGTAAAGTACAAAAGATATAGGAGAAATATGAAGGGTAAAATTATTTTTATTTGTAAAATCAATTCTATTTCTTATTAAAAGTAAATGGATTATATTTAAAGTAAAAGGGATTGAATTTTGAATTAAAAAAAAGATACAAGACAATTTGAAAAATTTGAGAATGGCTGTATTCATTGTCGTAAATAAAATGTATAGTTTAGAAAGCCAACGGCCATACCATGCTGAATATACCGGTTCTCGTTAGATCACCGAAGTCAAGCTTCATTGGGATGTACTTGGGTGGGTGACCACCTGGGAACACCTCATGCCGTTGGCATTCACAAATTTGGGACCTGAATGGCCGAGTGTCTAGCGCTGCGGCGCTCGGTGCCACAGGTTTCGGGTTCGAGTCCCCTACGGTGCCATGGGTGTTTGTAGTGGTTCGGAATCCATTTTAAAAAGTAGGTCCCGGTCTCATATGACTGTAAGAGCAGTCAAAAGTCAGGCTTCTACCTACGGGTGCTCCATCACAACAGAAGCTGCTTCCTTCCCCTTCAATCATGAGTACGTATGGGCTCGTGGGCTTGGCCTAGAAATGTCTGCCAAGTGGGATAAGAAACAACAACAACAACATAGTTTAGAAATAATAATTCTGTATATGAAATTGTAAATATACGAAACATTTACATTATATGTCTAGTTTAACATCCTACCACTGTTTAAAAAATAATTAATGGTAAGAAGATTGTGAAACAAAAATTAGAAAAAAGTATTTTTATACAGTTTTCTGAATTTATCTCTATTGTAAGTAGCAAAAGCTTTTTGTAGGAATTTATTGTTATGAATTTATCTACACCTTTATAATCTTATTTTAGAAATATATTTTTAACAAATGAATTGATGGTAAATAGAATTCTTTGTCTTATATGCATAAATGTATATAAAAATAAAATACTTGTCATACGTGCAATCACTTTATACAAAAAAAAGTGATTTTTCGGAAGAAAGAATTTTATTCAGTAAACGAGTTATTCAAAAAAAAGTATTGTCTCCATTAAAGGAAAAACAATCACAATAAACTTTATAAAAATAAAAATAATGTTGGTAAATGAAGAATCAATTGTAGAAGTTTTTTTTTGTAAAACTTCATTATTTGGGAGGAAATTATAAATTGATATAAATAATAAAGAAAAATAGATTTTTTTCATAAGAAAAGGAAAAGTTTGCTCAGAGATTTTTGAGAAAAATTAAAAACTCTTATCAAAAATTTGTTTTTCACGAGATAACACTTATCGAAACTGATCAACATTCCAATCCTTTTCACTATTCAATCTGATAAACGTTTAATCATAGACTTAGAAATTTTTTTTATTGATAAGCGAGCGTGTAAAAACATACTTTTAACAATTTGTTGAAAATTGATAAGATTTTTATAAATATCATTAAATAATTATTAAAATTAAGCCATAGTGTCTATGGAGGATGAGTAAGTACCAAACTTGTGCAGAAAAGAATAGAAAAAAAAAATACAAATGTGAGTGAAAATGATGGGTGGGCAGGATTTTTGAAATAAAAATATATTTGAGGGTCAAGAAAATGAACTACTTTAAATTTCTTATAAAAATGAACTAATTTATTTTACCAAATGCTAGTAGAGATTCGTTCTAAACGTTTGGATACTTAAAAATATCGCAAATTGTATCAACAAAGTTATAGTGTTTTAACTTCAATTTAATAGATATAACCCAATATGAAAGAAGAAAGAACCCATAAATTGATAAAAGAAATATTATTTAGAAAAACATTTAATAAAAATTGTGCTTTTGAAACACAAAATTCAAAATGAACTCATTGTAAGGTGAAAGAAATTTGACTTGTTTATTCTACGTTTTTCTTTTGTACTTTTTCCTACTATTTTTCTTACTAGTATTAAAATGTATTTTGGTTAATGAACGAATTCTCTCTGTAATTTACTGCTAAAATAAGAATGTGTTTGCGAAACTTTAAATTCGTGTAAAAAGATGAGACTGAATAACACTTACAGAAAGTGATAAGCATTCACAAACAATAGCATACCTAGAGATTTTAAATTGGTAAGGCAGAGTGTAAAAATATTTATTTGAGTAATATTTTCATTTTTTTTTATCGAATGATTTTTTTTTCTTTTGTAATTCTAAAAACCAGATTTTCAGAATAGCGTCAAACTCATGCTACAAGACTATGTTGTTAAGCACATACATATTTCACATTAAAATGACAGAAATAAGATTAGTTTGAAAAACTATCATCTTTACTTGATCCAAACTTTTATTATAAACTAAACAAAAATTTTTTATCCACATTCTTTGAAATAAAGAACAGACAGAAACAATTTAATTTCTTTAAAAAGTTACTTTTAATCTATGCTGTCTCGAAAGTATGTCCTTTCCCTTTATCTACTCTTTGTAATTATTAAGAAATTGAAAACAGCATAATCCAGCGCTTTGAGTGCACCGAAGATTAAGTTCTTTCGAATGCTTATAACAATAAGAGTTAATCCTTGCGAAGCAATAGTGAAGCCATCAGCCTTAACACAATCCGTGTAGTTAACAGGGAGAACTTAAAACTGAGGAAGGTCTCGTCGCTGGGAGGTGCAGGTCCCCAGAGCTGAGCTGCATCTTTATTCATCGCGAAGAGCCTAATCTCCCGCGAGAGAAGACGTTTGCTTTTGGGAGGAAGCTCTCCTGTTCTTAGTGCAGATTCTTGTTTCGCCCGGAATCATCCCTGCAATCCAAACACGACCCCAGAGGCACCAGAGAAGTAACAAAAAATTAAGATGGTTGACTCCATGGATGCTTTTAGATGTTGACGTACACTTTTCGAGATGTTAATGTCAAATGGATTTTAGCGAAAAATTCCTGGGCCGGTGAGGGAATACTCTAAAAGCAAACAAATCCCTTTTTTCCTTCTTTTTCTTTTATCAGTCTGCTCTAAATATGAATCTGTTTTTTTTTCCGTGTTGACATGCCGCAAGTAACAGTGGTTCCTATGGAAATCCCTTTATCCGTTTGCCCAATAAGGAAACAGTAAAGTCATGTCCAGAGTGAAAACTTGTGAAAATACTTACAGTGAAAGTACAATGAGAATGTAATAATAATGAACAACAGCTTACTGAATATGTCTAATAGCATACACTCAATAAAATGCAAAAGAAAAGAAAAGATCATAGAACCTATATAAATTTGCTGCAATGCTTCTATTGAAAATCATGATCCTCCTAAGAAAGAATTCTAATTCTCCGTATTCTAAAATAGTATAAGAAGCACAATTGCATTTAGATCATATTGAGAACGGATTAAAATTAGTAGCAGATTACTCTTCAACTAACAACCCAATTATGAGTAGAATTGAATGTTTCGATTCAAAAACTTTACATCATCAGCTGACAAGTGCCACAAAAAAAAAAAAAAAAAAAAAAAAAAAAAAGAAGGGAAACTGCTTCAAATATCTAATCAAATTTAAAGAAGTAAACCTTAGAACAAAAATTTTCAATCAAGCAGCAGAAGCGAAATAAAATCAGTTTGACAAAATTAAATTAGACCTTTAATAACGCTAAATTAATACCGGTAATTTAGCGTTATTCAAGGTCCGAATAAATTCCTGATTATTAAAAATAAACTTTCATGGCGACAATGGCACTCATTCGGCGACAAAGTTCAAAAATGTCCAATGCTATGAAAATTCAAAACTAGTAAAAGATAATTAGAAGAGTTTCTCGAATGCCAATAAATAAATAAAAAAAATAAATAAAATAAAACTCTCCAAAGGAAAAAAAACAAAAAACACATCCCATTTGAACAAGATTTTGCGAAATGTGTGCGCGAATTAATAATTCTCGGGAGAACTATTTATAAAAATATAGATTTTTCACTGTCAGTCTAACGTCCAGACGATAGCAAGTCCCAGTATACGGTCATACATTTTTTCCGAATCTGAAACAAAAACGTTGTAGGCAGAAATATTCTGATTACTTAAAAATGAAAATTTGTGTAAGTTAATATTTCAGACTATACCACACCGGCAATTAAAATGAAAAGTTATTGTTAAGTCTATTGACTACAGCTGAAAAGTTGGAGCACATAATTGCAATGTTCGTACTTTAATTAACAATTTCGGGGCCGATCTCTCAGCACGTGAGTTAGTGTCAAAGCTAAAAAGCTATACCATGCAATAGAGCGTGGCGTGAATTGATGTCGTAGCCAGGCTATTGCAAGAAGAGCTGTACCTCAACATTTCGTTTCCGTTTCAATCGGCAGTATATGCTAGGTTTTTGTGCTAGTATTGGCGTGGAGGTTAGAAGCTCATTGTAAATGTCTGTGGGTTCCAATTTATAGCTTTATTCAATTTCTTCTATTAGCTCACACTCGCCCTATATATATCTTGTTAATCTCTCAAGTTCAAATAAATTTTTTTTGAACTTGTAGTGGATGACATTGGATGTTAATGCAGTTTTTTTCAAATATCAATTCATTCATTAAATTTAATTGATTAATTTTAGTTGTTTTTAGATTTAAGTTGCATGCATCTACCCATATAGGGCGCCAGATAAAGTTTAAAAAATGAATGACAATTATTTATAAAGGACTTTTCTGCAATAGAGTGAAAAAAAAAGTAGGAATTGACTTTAATTTTTTTTTTATATTACTTATTACTTATTAAAAAAATCTTATAATATGAGTTATAGAGACGACAGTTCTACAAGACCTTCAAGCTCCCAAAAAAGAAAAAGGCCAATAAACCTCTAACCGAAGCTGAAATTTCAAATGTGTTGACTGAGCTTTCGGATGAGTACCCGAGTGATGTCAGTTATGACAGCGATGAAGAATTCATTGTACCCCAAGGCTTGCTGCAATAATATCATTGCAACCAACTTATAATAATTCATTTATATTAAATTATTGTAATCATTGTTATTGATAAAGTATCATACAAAAATAATGCCTTTTCATTATTTGATTTCATTTTACCCATCAAACTTCAGTGGTATTTGGAAAATAATTTTACTTTTACTGGCTATCATGCACTGGCACAAACTCAAAATATTCTATTTGGAAATAACTAAATATTACTTAATAATCCGTATAATAAACAAAATCATGCTTTATTGCCCCTTTTCAATCATGAATAGTAAGTCGCCTTCTGGAAAAAAAATCATTTCTATTGGAGCGGCAGTAACTAATCTCCATATATGACCACATGACCAGCAGCGAAAATATCAAGTAAGACACCTTCAAGTTGCGCTATTGAATTCCAAAGTGAAATAATAAATATTCATGCAACGAATGAATACATTA